GAGAGAGAGAGAGAGAGAGAGAGAGAGAGAGAGAGAGAGAGAGAGACAGAGTGAGTTTGAGTATAACTGTTAAATAACTTCCAAGCTGGCTTGACCTAGCATTTTATACTCTATTCCTTCTATGTTAAAGATGTGAACATATATTCAGTAAAATATTTTTCAGTAGAAATATATATGAAAGGTTACGTTAGTTGGTTAAACCGTTGCGACAGAAAGTGGCCAGGAATCTGCCCTGCCATGTCTCTAAAACTGGTGTTTAGAAGTTTACAAATTCTACATTCAATCAAATTTACAGATTACCACTAGCATAAATAATAGCTATCAACTGAACATTTTCTATATAGGAAACATACTTTATAGTAGGCACATCTACTAGTCATGTTTATGGTTTTCTGTGTCTATAGATAATTTAGGTGACTCAGATCACCTCTGTGAAGCCATCTTATACAGCTCTTGTTGTAAGTCACATAATGTTTTTTTCTGTTTATTTTGAGTATCTGCTATATGTAAAGTCCATTCTGGAACTTTATAAAATTTTAAAGAAAATTTAATGCACAATTTTCTTCTTTAGGCCATATAACCTAGACATGCAGAGTGATATCAAAATCCTAGTTTCTATAATTTAATTATTTTGTTAATTTCAAATATAAATAAATCTTATTTAACTTAATGATTTTACATTTCCTTTAATAAATTTACCAATTTCAATTTAAAAGTCTCCCTGAGGTTAGGACAATGTGTTTTATTTCTCAATTTTGTGTACAGCATTTACCTAGTTCACTTCTTGAGAACTAAGCCCTTAATAAATATCAGTGACAGAATGTTTGGGGTAGATATTATAAATTTTCTTGTTTTTAAGTTATACTGTTAACATAAAATAAGTGGTGCCTTTTCTCCCAGTGTAGGTGGTCATTTCAAAGGAAGGATTTATCGACAGTGATTGCAGACATTCCCATCACAACTACTGTTCAATCATGGACCAAACTCAGCATTCAAGCAAAGCTGCAGAGGCCCAAGCTTCAAAACCAGAGAAGACAAGGCTCTGCGATGGATTCAGGGTAGGATGAGTATTAAATTTCCAAACTAAAATTAGTATAAAGGGAATTCAGTTAATTAAAAGAGCAATATGTTTCAGATTAGAATTTCACTGAAGTATAAAACTTTCATAACATCATTTATATCTTGATTTAAGTGTTTTAAAATTTGAGTAAAGTTTTTCTTTTGTGGTATTTCAGGGGTTTGAGTATTTATTGACATTGAAAATTAGAAATATTTTGATATCTGCTCTGATTGTTGATGATCCAAGAGATAACTATCAATGTTAAACAAAAGATTTATGTACTATGTAAAATATTCTTGGAATCAAACTAAAAATCTATACTAGTGTCTAAAAGCTATTTTATGATCTCAAACTGTTGAGTTATTCTTTCCTTAATATTTCCTTAGTTATTCTTAAAATTGTGATAACAAAAGAACATAGTCTGATGAGAGAGAAATTGTCATTACTAAAAAGACTTAGCAGAAAGACATAGTCAAAAAGTTAGTACAGTCCTTTTCTTCTGATAATGCAATAATAGTAGCCTTTGTTTTATCTCAAAACTTATGGGTAAGTGAATGCCTAGGTGACTCCACACAGGAAAAAGGACAAGAGTGACATGAAGAGGCCAAGTCAGTAAAGTTTAGACAACCTGATCCAAATCACCTTCCTTATAAAAGAGAAACACTTGCACACAAGAGAAAACCTAAACATCTTGTGAAGGACAAGACATCAACAATGATTGTCTCTTTATAGCATTTTAAATTCCTTACCTAGAATGCAGACAGCACAGCTAGTATTGACAAGAATGTTGTAATAAAAACAGTCCATTTTAACTTTGTCCAAAGAACACGAAATATGTTTGTTTTGAGTGACTTCTGGCAAAGTCTGTTCTGATGAAATATCTGAATAATGTTTAAGCAAAAGGGAAGTTCAGCAAAAGTACTGGTCAACACAGTGCAATGACAATATATATATATATGGGTTATTATGCTGTGTTACAACATATCTCTGAACTATTATGCTATATTACAACACATCTCTAAGATATTTTGCTGAGTTACAATATATCTCTGGGACATTATGCTGCATAATGGTAATTTCATTTCCATGTGTTATGATGAAGTGATACCTTTTGAAGAACTTCTGGAGAACAGAACCAGAGTAGGCATTAAATATTTATGTAAAGCATGTTGTATAATCAAAAAGACCTATAAAACACTAGCAATAATGACTAACACTTCTTGTATGCTTACTGCATACTAGGTTCTACTCTACTGTTTTATTTCTGCTAGTAGACTTGATCCTTAGAAAAATTTCATCAGCCAGATATTAATATTTCTAATTCATAGACAATAAAAGAAGCCTTATATGTACCCAGAGAAGATGGGTTTTCTTAAATCTTGTTAACTTGAGTTTCTATTGCTTTTCTAAAGACGGTGATAAAAAAAATTTGGAAAGAAAAGGTTTATTTCATATTACACTTCTAGGTTAGTCTAGCACTGAGGCAGAATTTAGCAGGGCAAGAACCTGTAGTTACAACTGAAGCAGAGCCCATGGAAAAGTGTTACTGGCTTGTTCCTCATGGCTGACACTAAGTCAATCATTAATCAAGAGAATGTCGTATAAACTTTCTTATAAGCAATCTCATAGAAACACTTTCTCAAATGAGGTTTCTCTTTCTAGTAACTCTTGTGCCTAGTTGATCAAACAAACAAACAAACAAGCAAACAAAAATCAAAACAAAAAAATCCATGTCATTCCAAGTCTCAAAGCTTGTAATTGGCATGTTTCTTACTATTCTCCTGTGAAGAGACACCATGCCCTAAGTAACTCTTATTTTAAAAAAGCATTTAATTGGAAGCTTGTTTGCAGTTTATAAATTTAGTCCATGGTCACCATAACAGGCGGCAGATGGGCACAGCACTCTAGTAGTACCTAAAAGCTTTACAGTTATCAGGTAGAGAGAAAAACAGACACACAGACACAGACACAGACACAGACACACACACACACACACACACACACACACACACACTCATGAGGTGCGGGAGAGGAGAGCCTGCTACGAACTTTTAAAATATCAGACCCACTCCTAGTGACATATCTGATCCAACAAGGCCACACCTATTCCAGCTAGGCTACACCTCCTAATCTTTCCCAAACAGAAGTACTGACTGGGATCCAAGCACTCAAATATATGAGACTATGAGGAACATTCTCATCTAAACCACCAGAGTTGGTGAGCAAAGGGTAGCCTGAGTCAGTCATATTCCAGAGCTTATATTCTCAGCTCTGTCCTATATTATAAAAGTAACTGGATTTATATAATCTTAATAACTAAAAGATCATATGAGAATTAAGACTATTATTGGACAATTTAATGTTGTTTTTTCCATGTATCTAAAAAATTATTTTTGTAACAAATCACGCAGTGTGAATCAGTCCTCAGGTTTGCACACAAGCCAATGCATACAACCCACAGTCATGATTGTACCCACAGATCTAGTGGAAGAATCTAAGAGTGAAGTGTATAATAAGTCACACAGTAATGTGCTTTAAATCACAGTGATGACATACTTTTGTAAACCTTTGCCTTGAGCTAACTAGGTTTCAGAGAGCTTACTACTTGTTATGTCTGCTTCTGAGATTTGCATATGTCTGTACTATAATAGGCATTCTTTAATAGTACAAAAATATTGTATTATCACCTTAAAACAAAATAAGACCAAGATGAAACTCTCCCATTCTGATTTTGTTCCAAATTTCATTTCTAGAGTAGTGTGAGTGAAGAACAAATAAATTGTCCACATTCTTTCCACAGCAGGTATAAAGTCTTACCTCCCTTAAACACCCATTTAGAAAGAAGAGTAGTACTCCTTAAAAAAACAAACAAACAAACAAACAAACTGATGCATGCATGTTGACTGGTGAAAGTTGGTGGTTGACATTTGTGTTCCCTTTAGAGAAGTAAGCCTTCTTTAAAATTAAACACATATATAATGATGTGAATAATTCTTTGTATTTAAAAATTCTATTTGCTCTGCCACATTACCCATTTTCCCAAACCATGGCAATCAATAATCCTCCTTCTACCTACAGTTACACTTTTACAGAATGTCATATGATTGAATTCAACCTTATCAGAGTGGCTATTGTCAATGAACCTGGCTTGAGCTTGGGTTCTTTGGAGCATTTAAAAGAATGATTTTTATAACACATTTATTTGTGGTAATTATTATCAGTCTGCTGATATCCCATTTAGTTATATGTGTATTAGGAAACATCACAGTTGCTTTCACATATTAGAAATTATAAATAAAATTGCTGTACACAACTCATCTGGGCACAAAGTTTTATGTAGATGCAAATTTTAATGCCCTTGACCAAATACCAGAATGTAATTCTATGGTGAGAATATTTTCTGAGAAATTGTTTAGTCATCCTCTAAATTAGCTATACTGATCACTGTAATATGATGCTAATCTTAGCAAGACATGAGTCTACTTATTCCAGATAACCAACATGTCAAAGTACAGATATGATCATGATCAAAGTCTTACCTGATGAAACATGAATTTTAGTGAGGTTGCTTACAGGAATACAGGTGAGAATTTACAGGAGGAGAAGGCAGTTGTGCCACCAGAAACCATTTCAGCATGGGAGCTGGGAACATGGACCAAACCTCACATCCTGAAGGTAGCTCAACTTGTTAGAGAATAAACTTTCCTGGTAGTTCAGTGGGTCTCAGCCTCTTCCAGGTTGCTTAGCTACTCTCTGTTTCTTCCAGGCTTCTCAGTTTATCTGAATGTGTCTGTCAGTTCTTACTGTTCAAAGGTGATTCATGAAGAAGATGCCTAATGAATCTGGTCAGCTATGGGGGAACCCAAATCCGCAGCATTGTTTACTACCCAAACTTAATGATTTTTTTCCTTCAAGACAGAACACTTGTGGTTTTACTTCCTTTTTGATATTCTCTCCTAAAATATGACATAATTTTACCACTCTTTAATATCCTATGTCTTAACGAGCATAGGATTATACTCTGGGATGGAAGATTTCAATCTCAGAGGGAACTACTCAATGACAATCATCACCATCAGCAATTTTAAGAATAGCCCTTGGTCTTCATCCTTAGTCTTATTTGCATTCTCAGCAATCTATATCTTGAAAGTTGGAATGATTTAATCCCTGCTGCCTTTCATTTAAATTTGTCATTCAATAGTAGCACAGACTGAAACATTCTTTTTTTCAATATTGCTGTCATCTACATACCTTCTTGAAAGAAGTGTCTGTTGCAACATATTTCCTAAGGATCTTACTTTCTTTTTTGTTATTTGGAAAATCACAAAAGCAAGGCCAATTTATAGGCTAACAGTTGATTTAATTTATGGTTCCAGAGGGGTGAGAATCCATCATGCCAGGAAGGTATGGCTATAAACCACATGCATGGAGGCAGGAACAGAAAACTAAGAGTTCACGTCTTCATATATAAGCATGAACCAGAGGGAATAGCCAGAAGTAAGACTATGTTATATGCTCTCAAAATCCACCATCAGTGACACAGTTCTTGCACCAAAACCACAATTCCTAAGCCTTCCAGACCTCACCATCAAGTGAGAACTGTACTATTACAAAAGAATAACCAAGACCACTGGGGGCAATTATCATTCAAACCACATTTTTAAGCAAATTTCGATAGGTTGGGTTTTTTTTTGTTTAGTTTTGATTGATTTTATGTAAGCAGATATGTCTTTGAGAAGTATATTCCTCCTGTCTGAGACTTCTCAGCGTCCTTTATATAGCAGATGTTCTTGATCATAATGGAATTTGACCAATTATTTCTTCATCCATCAAGATGGATCTTAAAAGACAGCATCACATCTCAGAAGGCATAGGCTTCCTCCAGGATCACTGTGAGCAATATCATTTTTCATTTTTCATTTGAATTTGTGGTTCTTTATGAGTTAATTGTTGTAAAAGGTATATGGTGCCAATGTCAATTCATCTTTTTGCAATTAT